TTTCTTACAATCAAAGCATTGATCCTAATAAAAATTATTGTCGCGGCTGATGCTGAAATTTGGGGTCTCGATTTGAAAATATAAATCCTGCTAAAATCTACATATACACTTTATATATACACTTTAATTATAAATTCTAGCCCAAAATCCTAACTCAACCCTCAAAAAAATTTTTTTGAAAATTTCATATCAAAATAGGTCCAAATTTCAGTATCAACCAATTTCAGAATCAGCCATGACAATTATTATTATTCTGAATACACATTAATCTGGTTTCGGTGTAGGACATGTAATTGTCGTAAAACCTAAACGTTTATGAAAATGACTGACATTTCTGTATGCATAAGATTTGTAAATTTTACACATAAACTAACAAATAAAAGGGGTCATCTAAAGCCTATAGTTAACCCCACATTTATCGTAGTTACCTTATATCCCAGAAGTTTCACAATGATACTATTATCTGGTGTTCATTTTTTCAGAATTATAATACGAGAAATATCTTCCGAATATGTCTGATATTTCTTAAACTAAATAATTTAGTCTTTCAATTCAATATTATAAATTGAATGCGACAAATATTTTAGAAGGTACAAAAAATGCTAGAAAAAACTTATTAAAATGTTTAAGATGCTAATTCTATAAAAGAAAGATCAACTGCGAAAATATTTGACAACATAGAAAGTAATTTATCAAATCTGATGAAAATATATATTCAGAAATTATCTACAAAAGCGGTTCTGTTAGTATAAATTACATTGAGTCTAAGCCTGATAAAACAATGATATTTTACACTTGTGCATGTATTATCTCAAAGGTAGTTAATTAGTTGACGTATGATTTCCTTAATAAAAATGTTCAACGCTCTAAAAATCCTTCTCAAACTTAATATAATAAAACATATGAAAATTTAAAACCATGCGTGTTGAAATACATTATGTATTTTACCAATCTATATAAAACAAAAAGTGACTGTTATAAGACCACTTACTTAGAAGAGCTTTTCATATTGAATTTATCTACAAGTATATTTATCTATGAGTAAGAAAAAAATATTGCATTCTTGAAATTATTTTAAAAGCAATTTAAAACACTGTTGATACTTTTGCCAATCAGTACGCTCCAATTTCACGTGATTTGAATTTATAATCACATGATAGCTCAAAGTAAGGATGCGGGTTATACCTATACCGTATTATACTACTTGTTGTATTATACAAGTATTATACGAGTATTATACACAGAGTTTTAGGTATAATACCAATAATAGAAATGGGTTAGCCAATTAAATTGCTTTATCTGCAATTCCGAAGTTTCCCTTAGAAACATTCCGAACAATATATAATGGTAGCTATACCCTACCATATTATACGGTGTTATACCTGGTATTATACTACCATTTTCTATTATACCGGTATAATCACATCCCTAGCTCAAAGGCATGCCCTGGGACACCGTGCCCTAACCCTATTCACATGATATTATTGGTAACCGAAACATTACGTACATATACGTATAATCACGACATATACCGTAAATAATGATATCATAAGTACGTACGTGTGTGTTCTTTATATTGTTATTAACCAAAAATCATAATTCCCCCCAAAACCATAATTTTACTTAAAAAGGATTTTTAGAAAATCAGCCTACATCAGGAAATTTTAAAATCGAAAGATTTCAACACTATTGATTAAAATTGAAGCAGATTTTTATCGATTATAATTGATAATAAATAAAACTATTGATTATAATTGATTTATTTTAATCATTTTAAATCGCTTTTAATTAATTTTTGTAGATGTTGATTATAATATTATCAATTTGGTTTAAATTGATTATCAACACCGTCGATTATTATAGATTAAATTTAATCGATAATAATCAAATTAATTGTTAGTGATCGAAATAACTTATGTAAGATTGTACTATATAATACATTATTATAGAAGATAAATAAGGAAGTCCATACTATTAAGAAATAATGCAAATAAGGAAATAATAATAATACAAAAATAAGCTTAAATTTTGAACTTACACCTTGGGCGTTATTTCACAACAATATGATATATCGACATGAAATTATATTTAAAGAGCTTATATGCATGCAGAAAATAATGAAAGTAAAAAATTTACAAGATGTTGTCAATTAAATCTTTAGCTACAGTCTTATTTATAACAGCAATACTTTTTAATATCGTGAATGGAGCTGACCCAAATCGTATGCTTCAACTAGTTAATGCTGAACGTAAAAAAGTTAATTCGCCTGATCTGACTTTAGATAAGTAAGTTTATTTATTGACTGAATTATTTAATTGCGGAGCAATAATAGAAATAAAGATTTAAGCAATATATTTCTTAATATGATATTATGTTTTTTTTTATCATTAACATAGTCGGCTTAATAAGGCTGCTCAAAACCACGCTGATTATATGGCAAATGTTAAAAAGTTAACTCATGATGAACCATCAGGAGATCCTGGTGCTAGAATGAAAACCCAGGGTTATAATTGGTCTGCGTATGGAGAAAATATTGCTCAAGGCCAAAAAAATGAAGAAGAAGCTATGAAATCGTAAGTGTTAATATATCCACTTCTAAAATCAAAAAAATACATGCGATTAATATATCTTGATTATTTAATT